GAAGGCGTCTACTCTCACAGTTGGGTTCCTTCCCATACCCTGCACACCTCATAGCATTTGGAACACGACCTGTGCTGAGCTTTAGACAATTGGTTAGTGTCCCTGTCCTTTGGAGACCAGGCCTTAGGCTGTGAAATGTGTTCAACCAGGCACCCTGGTGGAGCAGCTGTGTGGCCTTGATGGCACAGACTCCAGGTTCCAGGAACCAGTGGACCTGCTTTTGAGGAAGCCTCTGGGTCCCAAACCTAAGAATTCATGCTGCCACATAGTATTGGACACCTCCAAGATGCATCCCATAAGCTGGCAGTTTGGGGGCTGGGGGAAAGAGGTAAAGCCAGAAAGGGTGAGCTTACTGGCTCAGCTACCTCGTCCTGCATTGTATAAGTGTGTCATTCTCTTGCTTGTAGGAGACACGACTGGGGAAGCTCATCAATGACGTCCGCAAGAAAACCAAGAACGAGGAGCTAGCCAAGAGGGCCAAGAGGCTTCTGCGGAGCTGGCAGAAGCTCATCGAGCCAGTGCACCAGAATGAGGTGGCCCTACGGGCACTGGCGGGAGCTGCCGGCTCTGCCAATGGGGGCGCACACAACTGCCGGTCAGAGGTGGGAGTAGCCAGCACACCCAAGAGCATCCATGACCTGAAGAATCGCAATGACATCCAGAGGCTTCCTGGGGAGCGGCTAGACAGGCTGGGCAGCCGTAAGCGTAGAGGGGATCAGCGTGACCTGGGCCACCCGGGGCCACCCCACAAAGTTCCCAAAGCCACCCCTGACCCCCTAGTCCCCAATGCATCCCCTCTCCCCACTAATGGGATCAGTGGGAGCCCAGAGAGCTTACCTAGCCCCCTGGATGGTAGTGGGCACTTGGGCCCTGATAGCAGCCGCCTGGAACCCAGCGACAATGAGAAGCACAGTACCAAGATCCCCGTGAACGCCGTGCGGCCCCGCCCCAGCTCCCCTGGCCTGGGCAAGCCCCCCGTGCCCTGCCTGCAGACAAAGGCTGCACAGCTGGACAGAGCAGATGAGCCGCCAGGCCCTCCCCATCCCAGGGGGACCTCTCGCTGCTCCTTCAGCCCCCGGAACTCACGGCATGAAGGCTCCTTTGCCCGGCAGCGGAGCTCATACATAGCGAAGGGCTCTGTGTCCAGCCCCTCCCCACGCCCCCAGCCACTGGACACCACACAGGTGCCATCCCCACTCCCGCTAGCCCAGCCGTCCACACCCCCTGTGCGGCGGATGGAGCTGCTGTCTAGTGCTGAGAGCCCTGTGCACTGGCCAGAGCAGCCGGAGGGTCACCCACGGCTAACAGGGCCAGCCTGCAGGGTCGGGTTGTCGCCAGATTCCTCCAAGGTGGACAGCGATGCTGCCTCTTCAGGTGGCTCAGACAGCAAAAAGAAAAAGAGGTACCGACCTCGAGACTACACGGTGAACTTGGACGGGCAGGTGGCTGAGGCAGGCGTGAAGCCTGTGCGGTTAAAAGAGCGGAAGCTCACCTTTGACCCCATGACAAGACAGATCAAACCTCTGACCCAGAAAGAACCCGTGCGGGCCGACAGCCCCGTACCCACAGAGCAGCCACCTAGGACAGAGCAGGACCAGCAGGAGGCCAAGGCCAGCCTCCAGAGTCCTTTTGAGCAGACGAACTGGAAGGAGCTGTCACGCAATGAGATCATCCAGTCCTACCTGAGCCGCCAGAGCAGCTTGCTGTCCTCTTCTGGCGCGCAGACCCCAGGCGCGCACCACTTTATGGCCGAGTATCTGAAGCAGGAGGAGAGCAGTCGGCGAGGGGCCCGGCAGCCCCATGTGCTGCTGCCGCTGCCCACGCCCACTGACCTCCCGGGGCTCACTCGGGAGATCACACAGGACGATCTGGACAGAATCCAGGCCCAGAAGTGGCCAGGGGTGAACGGGTGTGAGGACACACAGGGTAATTGGTATGACTGGACGCAATGCATATCGCTCGACCCGCATGGCGATGATGGGCGCTTGAACATTCTGCCTTATGTCTGCTTGGACTGAGCACCTGGCCTGGCCATCAAGTGCATTCCCACCTTGCAGGGGGTAGGCTGGCCAGCCAGGAGGGCGAGCATGAGGCTCACCCTCCACCCTCCTTTTGTGAAATGCTGCTACCAGTTTACTAACGATTGCAAAGGAAGGGCTGCTCAGAGGGCAGATGGCAGAGGGAGTCCAGAACTCTATAGCAAGCCAGCTATATAAAGCGTTAGGTCCCCCACCCCAGAAGAGGTGCAGAGCCCCTCTAGCACCGAAGGTGGGGACCTCAGTGGCAGGCAGGCACAGGAAACCTGCGGGAGAGGTTACCTTAACAGCAACAGATGCACATCTCATCTCTGAATCTCCTACTCTTTGGCTCTGGCCAGTCTCTGGCCTCGGCCAAGCCAGTGTTTTCTTTTCCCTCGTGTTATGCGCTAGAAGCTTCTCTGCTATGGTGAACCCTGGCATTGGGCGGGTGAGCCAGCTTCACCCACTTGCACAGGTGTCCACCCATTTGTATATGGTTTCAGTTCAACCCCTGTTCTTAAAGAAATGCTGCAAAAACTTCAGTTTTCTTGTTTATTTCATCCTCTTTTCCACCTGACCACCAGCCAAATGACTTTTCCTTTCTATCTCTTCCTGTCTACATCTCTAGGAAATGCCATCTTTCTAGAGCCCTCAACCTCACAAAGTTCCCGAGGGTGCTACTGGCGTGAGTTGCCCTGCTGGGCGAGGAGAGCCGTCTGTTAGCTGGAAACACTCATAACCATTCCTTTAGATTCGTTTGCCTTATGGTTGTCATAAACGCAATTTGCAAAAACAAGGAGCCTTAGTGAATGTACAGTACCTAGACTTCTGCGTCCTCGCAGAAGGGAGCAACTTTGCTATTTGGTCCAGTAAGTGGATACCTTGTGATATAAATGTGGAAATAAAAAAAAAAAACATTTGCACAAACCAGTTTTGGAATCATTTCTCATTTGAACTTGTACTTGGCCTTTCCTGGATTCCTCCATGGGGAAGTCCCTGGAGCCCACAGCCTTGGTGGCATCCTATTAGCTTGCTTCTGTGGCAGCAGGCAGGATCTCTCTACCTATCTTTCATTCTTTTGGGGCCAACCATATCACCTTGGTCACCCACCCAGGGATGCCCCCTCCTTCAGGCCCTGTAGCTGATGACACCTTCCTTGACCACCAATAACTTTCTGACATTACATGGCCCAGAGGTGCAGACCAATATGTTATCTAGCCCCAGCCCTGGGCTAGCATCTGCAGGCAGGCCTAAGGTTGCCCCCCCACACACACACCTGACAGTTACCTGCCAGGGTTTCTTCTCCGACAGAAAGTAACGTGTTGTTTTCTCTCCTCCCCAAAATCGGTAATTTAAGTTTCCAGTTTTGTTTTTCACTCTTGAGATAGGTCACCTTACCTACAGCTGCCTATACAGCAGCTGTATGGGGTCAAGTCCTAAAACATTTCTTTCAGAGTTTCAGGACCACAGCCAACCCAGAATCACACTGAGTACCATTAAGGATTTATGAGGTTTGGTGCAGGATGGTCCCTCTCCCACTAAAGGGCCATTTGAGGAGGTGGAGCCCAACTGTGTGTCCCTGAGCCAGTGTTAATCCTGACCACATGTTCCACAAAGTTGCCAGGGCCAAATCCAATGAAATAAAAGCAACTGAAACGTGTCAGTGTGGCCACTTGACACTGCTCTGTCCAAAGGACTAGTAGCTACTTTCCTAATTCCACTTGTACCCAGTTGCTGAGGAAGGGCTGTGCACCCAGCTGGAGGGCATTAGGGTACAGAGGTGACCTGCTTTAGGACAGACCACTACTCTGATCCCAACGCTCAGGGACTGCCTGCCACACCTGTGTTGAGTTTTGAGCAAGCCCCACATGATTTACCTTGGAGAACAGGGATGAGCTACCCCCAGCATTCAGGTGATTGCGTTGGGCTGACATTTTCTACACTGCGAATAAAGACACTGTAAAGGACAATGTTGAGATCGGCGAGATGTCTCAGTGGATGTACGCTTGTTGCGAAGCCAGCGAGCGGACAAGAGCTTGGTCCCCTGAACCCACGTGGTGGGGAGGAGACAAGAGACGAAAGCCCTCCTCTGACCTCCGTAAGTGTACCACCCCCACGTGCCCCGCCTCCATAATTGAAACCCTGTTTTAAAGGGACCGGAACAACGCTTTTCCCACAAGTACTTGGAAAACACACCATCTTCGGAATCAAGTAGTTAGGGTCACGGTGCTGAAGTCTGCCCTGCCTCAGGGCTCTCGCCGGCAGCCTTCAGCCGAGCACCGTCAGGGGCAGCAGGGCTCTGCAGACGGGTGGGGGTCGCAGGAGGCTCCCGGCCCGCGCTGCAGGGCAAGGTGTCACCTACCGCACACCTTCCGAGGGTTTGCCACGGCCGGCTTCTTTCCCCGTAAATGATCTCTTGCCAATCCTGCGGGCGCGCCAG